CTGGGACCAAGGGAAGAAAATCAAAATGCAAAATTTCTAGAATCTCTAACCTCCAGGGCTACAAACCCTTCACTGCAGCAAGGCTTTTGCTTGCTTTTTCCATTCCTGGAAATGCTCCCTCCTCTCTCATCTTCAGGGGACCTCATCTTTCTCTGACCTCCTTTCCACAGCTATTATTTGAACCTAAGCAAATCCTTTTTATGCATAACACAGCTGTAGAAATCCGGGCTTCCCGGGCTGCTTGGGTTCAAGGTCTAAGTCCCCCATTTACTAGTTCTCTGATCTAGGGAAATAACTTCACCTCTCTGACCCTCAGTTTTCTCATCAGCAAGGAGGAAGTAAAAACAATAGCAATCAGCTAGGTACAGTAACATGTCTATAATCCCAGATAGTCAGGAGACTGAGGCAGGAGGATTTGAAGTTTAAGGACAGCCTTAGTAAAACCCTGTCTCAAAATAAATAAGGGCTGGGGTTGTGGCTCAGTGGTAGAATGCTGCTTGCCTAGCACATGTGAGGCACTGGGTTCAACCCTCAGCACCACATAAAAATAAATAAAATAAAGGTATTGTGTCCATATACAACTAAAAAAATATATAAAATAAATAAGCTGGGCGTGGTGGCGCACACCTGTAATCCCAGTGGCTGGAGAGGCTGAGACAGGAGGATTGAGGATCGCGAATTCAAAGCCAGCCTCAGCAAAAAGTAAAGCACTTAACAACTCAGTGAGACCCTGTCTCTAAATAAAATACAAAATAGGACTGAGGATGTGGTTCAGTGGTCATGTGCCTGAGTTTTATCCCAGGTACCAATAAATAATTAAATAAAGTTTAAAAAATGGGGATGCAGCTCTATGGTAGAGTGTCTCTGAGTTACACCCCCAGTACCACAAAAAACAAAACAATAATAGTCTCATAGGATTGTTGTGGGGATAAAATAAATAATCCACTTAAGAGCCCTTAGCACACTGCTTATAGTAAGAGCTCAATAAATGTTACATATTATTATGATAAATGTTATTATGTTATCATATTATAGTTAGGGTTCCCCAACTATAATGCATACTACACCTCCTAGGAGCTTTGTAGACCTTCTAGCCCAACATATTTTTCATTGTCTGGGCTCAGCAAGGACTCAGTACTTTAAAAGTTTTGGGTTTTAGCTGGGCGTGGTGGCACATGTCTGTAATCCCAGCAGCTCAGGGGGCTAAGGCAGGAAGATTGCAGGTTCAAAGCCAGCCTCAAGCAACTTAATGAGGCCCTAAGAAACCTAGTGAAACCCTGTCTCAAAATAAAAAGGGCTGTGGATGTGGCTCAATGGTTAAGCACTCCTGGGGTTCAATCCCTGGTACCCCCCACCCTGACAAAAAAATAAAAAGTTTTAGGTTTAGCAGCCAGATCTCCATGTCTTTTTCTGGATTTATCACTGTGATTATTATTAAATCTACCTGAACTTCAATTTCTTCTCTTGTAACATGGGAAAAATACCAATCACAAAGTATGAGGATAAAATTATATAAAGTGTGCAAATGTGCCTAGTGTGAGGCCTAGACCATAGTAGGTTCAACAAATGTTAATATGACTCGGAGGAAATAATAAAGAGATCTGTTTCTAGGAAAAGAGAGGAAAGTAAGAAAAGGGTTTCTAGCACTACTGAGACTTATACTTTTGTCCCCTAGAATATGGATCTCCCTTGGGCCCTCAGACTATAAGTGAACACATTTTTCCCCACACAATCCTGAGGGTGCTGGCAGAGGAGGCCTCCCTGTACTCTTCCTGACACAGGTGTGAAACCCTATGCCAAGACAATGCCCTTTGGAAGCTGTACTCAAAGGGCCTAAGATAATGCCTGGAACACAGTGGGCTTTACATAAATATGTGTTGAATAAAAGATGTGTGTGATGGGGACCTAGCAATGAAACTGGGAGGTATTCCTGAACATTCTATATTTCTCCTCTTCTATGAGAATTGTTTTTTCTCTTTTTCCCCCAAACGGTGGAAACCACAGTTGTTGCTATAAACTTTAAGACAGGAACTCTCCCATAACTCACAGACTTCTCAGTAAACACAATTCTTCGCTCCAAATCTGAGCTGCACCTAGCTTGCTCTCACTGCTGCTGGATCTCTAGTGTGAGCTTAGTCAATAGAACTCCCCACATTCATCCCTGCCTTGAGTACCTCTTTCCTCTACTTCAGAAACCTTACTTCATTCTCATCTCCTCAGCATGCACCAGACCCAGCACTGCAACCCAAGACCCATCACAAAGCCAGTTCTCTGGCAGAATCAGGCTCGCTGAAGGCATTTTGAGTACCACTTTCCATTATTAATCCCCAGCTGCCAAAGCAAAGTACAGAGTTCCCTTTCTGTCTAGGCCTGCACCACCACCACCACCACGACCAAGCAATGTCCCTGGGGGATAAGCAATGTCCCTGGGGCAAATACGAGGCTGTGAGATTCCTACATGAAGGCTGCATTGGTAAGCCGGAGTACAGGCTGTGCCAGCATAGATGGGGAGTGAGTAGCAACGCTCAGCTATAATTAGTCACCCCCACAGAAGAGCCTGCACAACAGGGAGAAGGAGGAGGGTCTCTGGGGGGAGGAGGGACCACTAGCTGCACAAAAGGGAGGAGGAAGGAAGGGGCAGAGGCAAGGAAAAGCAGCTCTATTCAAGGAAAATAGTCTGAAACACCCTTCACTGTTTTGAGGACTGAAGGAGGTTGAAGTATAAAAGCAACTAGGGTAGGCAGCACACAGCAAAGCCCCAATAAATGGAAGTTTCTTATACCCCGAAGTGGGAGGAATGTGAATTTGAATGGGAGTGCGTGGGACAGAGGATACCTAGGAGCAAGAATGTGTTATTTTTATGTGGGGTGCAGAGGTGAGCTAGAGGAAAAGTGGTGGTTTAGCATCCCCAAGAGAATGGATACTTGGCGTCGTCTCCAGGGAAGTCGGCTTCCTTAGGACCAGGATGTCTGTGTTCCTCGGAGAATACCATCCCCTGAACGTCCCCACACATCCTCACTTCAAGGCTGAAGGAGATTTCTGGGAAGCTGGGCATTGGTGGGGAGAGGCTGGACTGAGGGGGACTCATTGCAAGGGGAAGAGGAGAGCAAAGAGGGTAAAAGAACCCAAAGATGGAGCTGGAGAGAGCACGGGCAGTCCTTCAGGAAGGGAAAATGCTTGGCGCTTCCACGGAGAACGGAGAGGAGAGAGACCCACAGGAGAAGGCGCAGGGACTGGGTGCGAACCGGGATTTTTTGGAAACCGAACCTAAGTCAGGACAATGTGGAAGAAGCTGAGGGGATCCAGGGACCCGGGGGTTGGGGGCGGATCTGCTGCCAACCGCTGGCCTGGCGCACGCACTCACACACACACACTCACCGATTTTGGCCAAGCTGGCCACCAGAATCCACAGGGCCACCAGGTAAGGCGCCTCCACCTCGTGCCACTGCCAGCGGAAGAGCGCCAAGCCTGGGGGAGGTTCGCCCCGCGACCCCGGCTCCTGGGTGGGCTCTTCGGCCGCCCCTGCCCCCGCCAGGGGCAGCCCGAGCAGGGCCAGTGCAGCGCGCAGCATCCTGCAGCCTACCTCGCCGCCCTCCCGGCACCAAACGGCCGCCGGCCCAGCGTCGCCGCCGCCGCCTACCGGGCGCCCCCGCGTCACAAGCACGTGGGGCCTGCTCCCCCCAATCCCGGTTCCGATACCTCGGGCCAGATCTGGACTCGGAGACCCTGCCCCGGACGACCATAGTCGGAATCCTCTCCTCCATCCCCTCTAGACTAATCCCAGCTCCGGAAATTACCCAAAGCAGCCCTTCCCTCAGTCCCCAAATCTACTCCTTCGAGTCCGCCCCCGAAAACCTCCCATCACCCGGATTTGGAGTGGTGAGCAACCACCGTCCTCCAGAGACAGCCTGTTGCGGGAGGGGCGGAGGGTCCCGTGGCGACTGCCGCCCGGCCGCAAGCAGCCAGCCCCAAGTGCCCAGACCGCGCACTAAGCCGCCGCCCTGTGCAGACCGCGGGGGCAGTACGCTGGTGCCTTGCGCGCTGCTCCCCCAAACCTGAGACCCACTTAAGGCCCCCGCCCGGACCAGAGCTGCGCACGCGCACAGGGCGCTTCCACAAAGCCGTGATGGACTACGCAGTCCCCAACGTCCCCAGTCACCCTAAGCCCCGGACTAGGCCCAACTCACTCCAGGCTGAGAAGGAAGCTGTTTCTCACATCTCATCTCCCAGATGAGAGATATCGACCGTCCCTTTTCCCTGAACTAGAGGGAACTCCACTCACCTTTTCCATGAAACCAAAGGAACCTATGGTATTCCCTTTAAACTCAGAGGGATCTACCCAACTTTAGGTAATTCAGCTCATCTCGCTACAGAGGAAAGTTGACTCCACTTTTCAAGCTGAGGGACACCCATCCCAGTTCTCCCTCCAAACTGAGAGGAAGATGTGCTACCTGCCTCCTCAAACTGACTCATCCCATTCTTTTTTAGAGAAAGGGCACTCGTCCTTCTTCTTCCCACAACTAAAGGGAACAGATTCCACTTCTTCCTTCAAACAGCCGAAATCTATTTTTACTTCTTGCTCCAAACTGAAAGAAACCCTTCTCAACTGCTTTTTCGCCAAGTGACGGAAATAGTAACACTCAAACTGAAGGAATCAGGGCCATCTCATCCCTAAACTTAGGGAGACCTGGTCGGCCACTATGTGAAGGAACTTTTGCCCCACCTGCCCTAGCATCCCGCAAAGAAGAGCAGCCTCACCTACCCCAAGCCCAAGGAAAGCCTTCCCAGCCTCTGCGCTCTCCAAGGCGGGGCGCCAGCTCGGGTTTTCCCGCCCTCAGAGTCAGGGAACTAACGGGATCACTATCGGGTTTTTTGAGTGGTTGGTGCAAGCCCCGCCCCTGGCAGTGGTTACCCCCTGCGCGCATTTGGGGCCCAGTCTTAGTCCCACCCCCTCCTCGGCCCCGCCTCCGTCTGGCTCCGCCCCCCACAGCGTCCGGTCCGGCCCAGCCCCAGCAGCAGGGCTAGACGAGTGGAAGCTGCTGAGGGTCAGAAACACCGAGGCGCGCGCGCGGTGCGAGCCCGTGGCAGAACCATGGCAGGCGGGGAAGACCGCGGGGACGGGGAGCCAGTATCAGTGGTGACCGTGAGGGTGCAGTACCTGGAAGACACCGACCCCTTTGCATGTGCCAACTTCCCGGAGCCACGACGGGCCCCTACCTGCAGCCTGGACGGGGCCTTGCCCCTGGGTGCTCAAATACCTGCGCTGCACCGGCTGCTAGGGGCGCCACTCAAGGTGAGAGGGGCGCGGAGAAAAGTTGGGGCGATAGGGAGTTCAGAGTCCGCTCCCTGAAACCCGATGGGAGGTGTCTCTCAAGAAGAGGCTGGAGCGTGTACTCAGGAAAAAACTTGAACTGGGATCCCAGGGTTCACGCCTGCGGGCGGCGGAGACTATCAGCTTGTGGTCTGCATTGTCTTGGCTTCCCCTCGAAGTGAGGCCCACCTAAAGAGGTGCACGGTGCCCTTTTGCTGCGGGTCTGCCAGGGTGGCTGTCCTGGGCTGAGTGTCAGTAATTGTTAGGGCTGTAACAGACCCAGGAGGCGGAGCTAGGGAGGGACCAGCTTCCACCTGCTTCAGGTGAGAGGGGTGCGGTGTATCAGGAGGAGGGACGGATCCAGGGCGGGCCACTAGAGGTGAAGTGGTATCTGGAGGCTGGGTGTACCGGCCAAGAAGAGACTGCCGGGTGAGAGGAGTCCACGGGAAGCGACCAGGCCCGGGTTACGCGGAACGCGGGAGGCTGCACAAAGTGGAAAAGCCCTTTGAGTCACCGCCTCCCCACCCCCGCGTACACCCGCGGCTTGTGGCCCGCGCCTGGAAGGGAGGGGGCGGTCCCGGCTAATTTTAAACCTCCGTCCTGCCCTAGTTTGCACCGGCCCCAAGGCCGACTTTGCACAGTACTGGAGAGGCCCTTTTCCAGATGGCCGGCCAGACCTCCCCGCACTCGGGCTCGCAGCCCACAGACCCCCTCAGGCAGCCCTTCCGGCGCGCTGTTTCCGGGCCAAGACTCCGGGAGGCGCCCTTTCATCCCCTGGGGTTCCCCGCCAGTGGATCGGTTCTGAGTAGTTAGGAAACGCCCGTGGGAGTTGGTGGGGTGCCTCAGCAGGACACCGAGTTGCGCAAACATGCCCCCTGGGCCCGGGGTCTTCCCTGGAATGTGCCCTGGGCGCCAGGCCCCCAGGCCTGCATTCCTGGAGCCTTGGCCAGCCCCGCCTCCCAGCGGCCGCGGGAGGGGTGGGGAGACTATCGTCTGGGGAGTGGCACGTGTCCCTGCAGAGCCCAGCTTCAAGGCCACAGCTGGAAGGATGCAGCATACTGCCCACCTCCGGAGTTTTCATGCATCCCCATCTTGTCCTGCCCTTTTCACAGGAGCAGACTGAAGTGGGCCTAGAAGTATGTCCAGCCAGAGCCCACCTGCCATTCAGTAGGTGGGATAGGGAAAAAGGGGTACAGAAATGAGGTGGTTCTTCATCCTGGAACTACTTCAGAAACAAGGCTGGACTACTAGAGTATAGTATTCTTACCATTCTCCCATTCTGGAGCAGGACCTAGCTCTGACACTCCTCTTCACAACCAGGGTTAGGCCTGGGAGGTCAGCTGCAGGAAAGAGGTTCAGAACCATCCCTTCTCCCCCTTCATTTAGATACCTGATCTCCTGCATGTGTTTAGCATACAATAGGAATCTGGGTTTGATCTCTATCACCACAGAAAAAGGAAAAAATAAGACCAAGTTCCCAACCTACCAGGTGCCCTGACCTTTTCTCTTTTCCTTAGCTAAGGACATGAGTTGCATGGAAGAATGTTAAGTCCCTCACATGCAACTCTGCTTCCTGGTCTGTCCCCTTTCAGGATCTCCACCTGGAGTACTGAAGACTGTCCCGTCCCCCACTAAGAGCCTTTGGGAACCTTCAAGCTAAGTTACCACAGTGTCTGGAACCAGGACTCCCTGGAGCTGGCAGCTTTTCCAGGAATGGTCAGATGCACTGTGATGTGCTTGTCCCAAATATAAACTGTGACCACAGACCCAGAATAGAAGGCTGGAGGAAGAGGGACTGTGAATAGGATGGGGCAGGAACATCAGAGAGCTGAGGAAGGGGGGAGCAAGGCTCCTCCTCACAGGAAATGTTAACAACTGGTTCCTCCCCTAGTACTTTAAGCTGGTGCACCAGAAGCCCAGACATAACTCAGGCCTACCTTGCTAGCCTTCCAAAAGGGAGAGATGGCCCCAAACCCAGGCATCACTGTCCCAGGCTATAGGGCAGAAATAAGAGGGAGAGGTTGCTTACCCACTGCTGTTTCCTGTGTACAGTTGTCAAGCAGAGGACAGGACACAGCCAAGTGACCTCTGCCCTCCCACTCTGGAGCACTGGTCCATCATCCCTGCACACCCTGCACCCTCCCTGGTTGTGTATAGAAGAGGGCCCACTCTCACAGGGACTCTACCCCCAACAACCTACTGAACCTAGAGTTCCCTGGGGACTCCCTTTTTAAACCATTTCAGAGCTTGCAGGTCTGAGAAAGCCTTGCTCATTTCCTCCAAGTCTAGGAGGAAGCTCCTGTCCTCAGCCTCTGACTCATCTCCTGGCCCTGGTTGGTGGGGGGAGCCTGACAGTGCCTTGGGCCAGGCTAAAAGTTCCCAGGTCAGGGGGCCCTCAGGAGTGCCTTTCTCGCATATATGTAAAAGGCTGTCCCAGCCCAAGGACTTGCCCCCACCCCAGTGAGAATTGGCTCTTTGGTGTCTTATCTCTTAATCCAGAGCTACTCAGTTTTGTCTTCTCTTCTAGAAAGGGCCTTAGGAGCCTCCTCTGAGCCTCAAAGGCTTTGTCACATCTCGGATACCACTACCTTCTTCCTGGGCATTGGGCAGAGGACCTGAGGTGTTTCTCTGACCTTGTTGCAAGGGCTAGAGGAGTCTCCTCTTCCTGGCAGCAAGGATAACTGGTCATTACCAATAATTTTGTTCCCCCAGACAGATATGACTGAAGATTAGAGTAGGACGGGGGTGGCTTGGTGCCAAAATATGTCCTGACCCTACTCCAACCCACTCCAGCCCTGTTTACCTCTCAGGACCCATTATGGCAAGGGGGCTCAGGTATGAAACTGACCTTCTAGGTTAGGGACTAACTGAAGGGGTCCCTGAGAATTCTTAAGGGGACTGTAGAGTGCTCTGGTGATGAACTGAGCTCTTTCATTCCCTAATATGGGAGTCACTTTGAAGATTAAAGAAAATTGGGATGTGAGCATGAGTGGTGACCTGCCAGGCTTTCCTGTGACCTGTTCCATCTCCTGGTCTTTCTGGGCTAGAGAAGCTGAATTATAGTACCTAGATCCTTTCAGAAGTAGATTTTGTGACCTCAGTGACTAGCAACATATAGTGTGTGTGTGTGTGTGTGTGTGTGTGTTCATTTGTGTTTCCTTGCTAGAACTGGGAGGACCAGTTTGGGATATTTACAGAATCCAGGAAGCTGAGGGGGCAGTATCCAGCCCTTGGCAATCCTGCAGGCCCCAGCCCACACTCCCACTTTCCTTTCAGAGTTCCCTGGAGCACTTTTAAGTCCCATCCACCCAAGATCTGAGTCAATTAGCCTTGGTCCATTCAAGAGCAATTCATCTTCTTTCTGAACCTTGGTTTCCTCACTTGTAAAAAGATTATCAGGATAATCAAATGAACTAGGCATCCACACAGTGGAGGCAAAACAAATGTGGATTTCCCTCCCCAAAGCACATCCATGACATCTCATCCATGTCATCCAGGAAGTCTCAGTCTAACTAGAGACACAAGATAAAAGGAAAGGAGGGTCTTCAGAGCACAGGGTCCTGTGTTTATAGAAAAGGAGTCAAAATAAGTAATAGGCCAATTATTTCCTAAAACAAAAATTCTTCAGCATGTAATTCTGCCCTTCCTCCATCTTCCTTGCACTCTATTCCTGCATATTCATTCTCACCCGATTATACTTTTATAAAAAGTATTGGGGAGCTAAAGCTAGTTCTGTTTGGTGCATGTCTGTAATCCCAGCAACTCAGGAGACCGAGCAAGACAAGTTCAAGGCCAGCCTCAGCAACTTGGTGAAACCCAATCCCAAAATTTAAAAACAAAAACACCCCACCAAAACCCCAAAATGTAGCTCAGTAGTTAATCCCTGGGTTCAATCCCCAGTATCAAAAATGGGGGGAGGATAGACACCATCTTCCCCTAAGCTTTATCCTGTATATAAAACCATGTATAAGGAGACTTGGAGTGTAGCTAAGTGGTAGGGCACTTGTCTAGTGCATGCAAGTCCCTGGGTTTGATACCCCGTATTGCAAAAAATAAAAAATTAAAATTAAAAATTAAAAAAAAAAAACATATGTAGTCAATGGGTTTGGGCTGCCAAAAAAGCTTGAGTCTGGAGAGTAAATAGAAAAGTGGGCTGAAGGCTGAAGTGAGGGGCTAAGCCTGGAATGGGGGAGGGACTCCATCAAAAGACAGATACCAGAGAAGTGAGGAAGACAAGATCCAGAATGGAGCTGAGAATATGGGCCCATAGAGTATGCTGACCCTAATCATTGTCAGCAGGGACTAGGTTTGGACTTGCTCAAGCCTGGCCTAGCCCCAGGGTGTTAGAAACAAGGTCCAGAGGCTTGGGCTTTCAGAATGGTGACCCTAGGAAGCAGCCAGGGGTGTGAAGGATAAGTACCACCCTGGTGGCAGGAAGTCTCCCCTTTTTGCTGCCTGCCTGACTCTAGCCTGCCATCCCCCACCTCCACCAGGACAGATAGCTGGGGTTTGGGGAACACTGTCTTGGATGCATTAGGCTAGGTATTACTCCTGGACCTCCTCCCAGGAATGGAACCCTGGCAGGACTGGACAGGTGAAGTGGCTGAAGAGGCCTAGTTTCTTATCATAGAGGAAAGGGTTAACTTGCCTGAGGAAGCTAGAGGAGATGGACCACTTAGCCCCAACAGGTATTCTGGAGGAAAGGGCCATTCCTTGCTCACTTGGGATGGGAACACATAAGAGTTAGTGCAGGAGGAGAGGACAGCATTGTGGGCTTAACCTCTGGGGATGTGCTACTTTAGCCTGTGCACAGACATGCCTGACCATATACCTGGGTGTGTGAGTGGTTACCATGGCTAATATGATCAACCTCCAGTGTTACCACATCTGCTCCTCCCCTTTCTTAGCACTCATGGAAGTTGTGATTCGACATTTATTGTGAGCTTTTTCTGAGTCAGGCCTGACTGTCTTCCCTGCTAGGTTGGAAGGATGGGAAGGCCGAGAGAGAGGCACTGTCTGGTTCCTGCTGTGTCTTCTGAACCTAAAACAGCCAGGTTCATGAATGTGTGTGATTTGGAATGACTAGGAGCAGGGGTTGTGGCTCTGGGGTATGTATGTTTCTCTAAGATCCCAGAATACTCCAGTCCAAGGTGCAAGGAGATGGGGCTAGGCTGGGCTGGAGTTTGGGGGTAAGCTGCTGTGTCGCTGGGTGGGAAGAGGGATCATGAGGAATGTGAAGGTGGCCTTAACTGAGCTAGCCCTGGGTGAGATACTCTAGCCTTAGTGTCTTGATACACCCTCTCAGGCCTATTCTCAGTAGGACCTGGAGAGGATGACTCTGCTCCCAGGGAAGGGACAGAGGCCAGGCCCGCCCAAGGCGCCCTGGGAAGGGCAGGCAGCCAGGCAGGAAGTGGGTCAGAGAACAGGCTGGAGTGTTTGTCCTATGTCCCATGTCCCAAGCAAGGGGGGAGGGTGTCACCCAAGGGCCCTATAGGGGTAAACTGCCAGGAAGGAGCCAGATCATATTCTGAGGCAGGAGTAGGGGTGCAAAGCAAAGACAGAAGCTAGAGCTGGATTCCCTTTCCTCCAAGGGACCAAGGGCAGCTGGAGTCCTTGGGTGGGGTCCAGAGCAGGGCAGGGCAGGGCAGGCCAAACAGCAGGACAAATGTTGGATTTGACTTGTTCAGTGAAATGGAGACCATAAGACCTCCTGGCTTTCCAGAAGCAGGCTCTTCTTGGGCCATAGCACCTCAAGGGCCAGAGTCACTCAATAAAGGGGACTTTGCATAGTCTTGCATGCCAGCACTGTACTGTGGGGGAGGTGTCCACAACAAGGCACAGTGCTGCTCTCAGAGTGTCTGGAGTCTCCTCATTCTGGCCTCTATAAGGTGTTTCTGAAGGGGCTAAGTGCCATGTGGTGGTGGTGGAGGGAAGCCAGGCTTGGGGGAGAGAAACATGGAAAGTGGATACATGGATGGAGCACGTTTTCCTGTTACAAATGCCTATTTCAGGGCCCTGTGTAGACTGACTGAGTCAAACCCTAAAATCTGAGGTCTAACTAGGACCATTATAACTGTAGCCCCCTTGGGAGAAAAATAAAGCAACTAAGGCCTAAAGGGTCTGGAGAGTCTATGTATCATCCCCTGTTCCTCAATATCTTACTTGCAGAGATGTTCCCAGCTCTGTCAGCTGGGTTTGCACCTCACTGCATGCTTAACACTTTCTCCCTGGGCTTCAATGCTTTGTAGCTACAGCTTATCACCCCACATGCTTGTGAGCTTCCTTGAAGGCAAGAACTTCTTCCCATCTTCTCTCCATGCCCCTTGTTCATTTGTGTTCATTAGTTCAACAAGTATTCAGTGAGCACTTACTGTGTGCCAAGTACTGTGCTAAACTCTGCAGGTATAGCAGGGAGCAACACAGGCGAAGTGCCTGAACCTAGTCAGTGGGGAGGAAAACTAGTGTCATGTCAAGGATATGATAAGATTATGTGGGATGCCTCAGCAAGGAGTGTATATATGGAGTTGGGTGGATTGCCTAACATTGGCTGGACAATTCAGGAAGGCTTTCCAAAAGCGTTATCTTTGGATCCTGAGTCCAAAGCCAACCTTAGCAATGGCGAGGCGCTAAGCAACTCAGTGAGACCCTGTCTCTAAATAACATACAAAACAGGGCTGGAGAGGTGGCTCAGTGGACAAGTGCCCCTGAGTTGAATCCCTGGTACCGTCCCCCCCCAAAAAAAAAAATAGGTACTAACCAGGAGAGGAGATGGCACATACAAAGGGCAAGAAAGCCTGGCACCTGAGACAGAAGGGCTCAGTACCTAGAAAGTACTTGAGAAACAGTTGCTGAAGGAATGTTCAGCTACAGTGAAGATGCTTGTGTGCCTCTCGACCACACCTCAGGTGGAAAGTAAAAGGTTATAGGAGGTTTTGTTCGTTTGTTTGGTGCTGGGGATTGAACCCAGGGGCACTTTTCCACTAAGCTATATCCCCAGCTCTTTTTATTTTTATTTTGAGACAGGTTGTTGCTAAGTTGCTAAGGTTGACTTCCAAGTTGTGATCATCCTGCTTCTCAAGTCTCTAGGATTATAGGCATGTGCTACTGTGTTGGCAGGTCATCAGGCATAGGGTCTTTATACATATCTTTGCCACCTCTTCCCCAGCTGCATTAGTCAATTTTGTGTTACTATAATGAAATACCATGGCAATTAACTTATAAAAAGATAAAAAGCTATTTTTGGCCTATGATTCTGAAGGTTTGAATCCAAAATGGATGGCCCCCATGGTGAGGGTGGCATATCATGGCAAGAGTACTTAGCAAAGCAAATTGCTCACATCTCATGGACCAGAAAGTAAAGAGAAATACTGGATTGGCTGGGGTCTCATAATCTCTCTGAAGGCATCTTAAGAGCCTTACAAAGGTGAGCAACTCATCACTTCTCAATAGCCCCACCCTGAGGACCAAACCCTTAACACATGGACTTCAGGGGACATTCAACATCTAAACTATAGCACCAGCCTTACAGCTATTCTTCTATCCTCAGCTGGAGGATTGTGCCCTGCAAGTGTCTCCCTCTGGGTACTACCTGGACTCCGAACTGTCCCTGGAAGAGCAGCGGGAGATGCTGGAGGGCTTCTATGAAGAGATCAGGTTAGAACTGATAGAGCCAGGGAAGCAAGGAGCCCTTCCCCATCCTCCACAGGAGCTAGCATGTGTCTGGTCCAAGTCCCCACCCTTGTCCCCACCAGGGGCTGGCTCAGGTGTCAGCAGCTGAGACACTTGATCTATAGCCCGGGCTAGAGGTCACCTCCTGCCACCCCAGGGAACTATGCCTGGGGAATCCCAAAGCTTGGCCAGTGTTACTTGCTGCCTAAGATGAATGCAGGAGCTCTCCCACATACCTAAAATACCTGTGTTTACACAAACCCTCCTGTCTGGCTAAGCCTTGGGCCCTTGGAGTAGTGGTTGGGAAGGAAGGAACTGGGCCAGGGATTGGCATGTGGAAGACTTTTGCTGTATTAGTTCAGGGGGTGGGACCCTGAGGAATGGGCTGGGAGCTGCTGACTAGGCTGCTTGATTCCAGCAAAGGGCGGAAGCCCACTTTGATTCTGCGAACCCAGCTCTCAGTGAGAGTCAACGCTATCTTGGGTGAGTGTGTCCAGCAGTCTCCCAATATCCCCACCCTCATAGCCCAGTTGGTCCAGTTTCTTTCAGGCCTGTGCAAGACTGGACAGAGTAGATTGGAGACTGAATGTGCCCCCTCTTGCCTTCCCCTGACCTCTCCTCCCAGGGCCAGGACTAATGCCACAACTAGACTACGGTGGTGGCAGTAGTGGGAGGTACCCAGAGTCAGGGACTAGAGAATACTAGAATCTTCTTTGGTGGGAGGTTGTGGTTGTGTTCTAGAGGAGGAGGACTGTCACCTTAAGGGTTTTACGCCTACCTACCCCTTGCAGAAAAACTATATGGGTCCAGTGGCCCTGAGCTCCGCCGTTCCCTCTTCTCACTGAAGCAGATCTTCCAGGTGAGGCTCAGAGGTGGGCTGGGGGGGGGGGGGGGGGGGGCCAGCCCAAACCTCCCTAAAATCCCCTGTGGTGCTACCAGGAAGACAAGGACCTGGTGCCTGAATTTGTGCACTCAGAGGGACTGAGTTGCCTGATTCGTGTGGGTGCTGCTGCCGACCACAACTACCAGAGCTACATCCTTCGAGGTCAGCCCCACTCCTTCCCCATGACTTCTGCCCCCATGACCCCCACCTCTGCTGACCTCTTCCATCCCTGTGTCTGCAGCACTGGGCCAGCTGATGCTTTTTGTGGACGGGATGCTGGGGGTGGTAGCCCACAGTGAGACAGTGCAATGGCTGTATACACTGTGTGCCAGCCTGGTAAGTGACCCTTTACCCAGTCATGAACCCTTCTCCCATTGCTTATCTGAGCCTCAATTTCCTCTTCTGCAAAGTGGACTGAAATGGAGCAAGTCTGGGGCTCCTCTAAGCCTAGAAGGCTTTTTTGGGCCTACCCCTGGAGCCAGGTCTTTCAGCCTAGACTATTCTTTCTAGGTCTAACCCCCGGAGCCCTTCCCCCTTCCCCCTTCCTATAGGAGCTAGCAGAGGTCTGTCCCAAACCCCACTCACTTGTAGTGACATCTTCCCATAGTCTCGCTTGGTGGTGAAGACGGCCCTGAAGCTGCTGCTGGTGTTTGTGGAATACTCTGAAAACAACGCACCGCTTTTCATCCAGGCAGTCAACTCTGTGGCCAGCGCCACCGGTCAGAGTCTGTCCCTTCCTCTGCCTCTACTCTGAGCCCTCTCTCCTGCCTGCTCCCCACCCCCCATGACTACTCCCCTTTCTGTGTGGCAGGTGCTCTTCCCTGGGCTAATCTGGTGACTATCCTGGAAGAGAAGAATGGTGCCGATCCTGAGCTGTTGGTGTATACTGTCACCCTCATCAATAAGGTGTGGGTGGGGATCAGGTGCTAACTATGGGGCCCTGGGGCTGCTGACCTGTAGTCCCCACCAGCCTCTGCCTTGGCTTTCTATCCCTATTCTCCAGACACTGGCTGCGCTCCCAGATCAGGACTCCTTCTACGACGTGACAGATGCACTGGAGCAGCAGGGCATGGAGGCACTGGTACAGCGCCACTTGGGCACTGCGGGCACTGATGTCGACCTGCGCACTCAGCTTATGCTCTATGAGGTGAGCCCAGAGTAGGAAAATGGGAGGGAGAGGTGCAGTTCCCCAGCATGCCTACGGGGCCTCAACCACAGGCTCACTCCCTGGCCTACCTCTGCTAGAGCGCCCTACGATTGGAAGATGGAGACTTGGAGGAAGCAGCAGCCACTGCAGCTGCAGGTGGTCGGCGGGAGCGGCGAAAGCCCTCTTCAGAGGAGGGCAAGAGGAGCCGCCGATCTCTGGAAGGGGGAGGCTGTCCTGTGCGCTCCCCAGAACCTGGGTAAGTACGAGCCTTGGTAGCTGGGGAGGGGTGAGTCTGCCAGGCTTGACCCAATCTGGTGACAGGCCCGACCTGAAGCTCCACAGGCTCCGCCTCGCCGATAGGCTCCACCTCTACCACCAGTCCTGCCCAGCTGATAAGCCCTGCCTCCAGCCCTGTGGGCCTTGCCTCTGGGCTTGGTACCTTGGTGAACCTTTTTCCTGCCATTTCTGTGGCGCCCTCAGCCGGCAACTCCTGTGAGAGGAGCATCTACAAGTAAGTAGGAAGATAGAGGTGGCTCCCAGAGCCCTATCTCCAACTGTCCCTCCACTTTGTGCCCCTCCACGGGCCCTCAGCCTCCTCTGCCCAAACGCGTGCTTTCTCTCTTTCTTTCCAGACTTCACCAAACTGCTCCCGTTTGGTAAGTGACTGCTGGGTGTGGGGTTCGGCTCTGTCTGGACCTCCTCCTGTGGCTTCCCTTTATCTCCTTCCGACATTCCACCTGTTTTTGCCTCTTGTTTTGTCTCCCTACTCCCTTTCTTTCTGTTTCTCTGTCAGTCTTGTTCGGCTCTTTGACTCTCCTGCACCCTGTCCTGCTTCATGTCATTCTTTCCCCTCCCCTTCCAGTGTCCTCATGTCCTACCTCCTCCACTCCTTCCTCTTCCTCCCAATATCACTGCCCAACCTCTGTGTAAGTGCCAGCAAATGGGCCTTGAGGTGGAACCAGCACCACAATTACCATTTCTTCCTCTCATCCCCCTACCCAGGGCCCCTGAGAGCCCACCCGTCCCCCAGTCCCCTACTGGGCAGGCCAGGCTGGAGTAAGTACAGAGGCCAACCTGCCAGGTCTGCCATGTGCTCAGGGCTTCAGCATTGCTTCCCCAGCAGGGGTTCCACATGCCCCCTAGCAGCCAGAACTGGGGGATTCTCAGACCCTGCTCCTGCCACCAGATTAATGCCTCCATAGTAATCCAAAGAGCAAGCAGTGGGAAAGCAGTTCACTGGGGTCAGAGTAGTCCCTGTGCTTCAATAGTGAAACTTTAACAGCTTAGACCAGAAATGGGGATAGGGATACCCAGCTCAGGAACAGGGCAAGGAGGGCATCTAGGGTGCTGTGTGGTATGTGGGTAGTGGAGCAACCTAACGCTGTGGGAAGGGCAGTGACAGGGACCAACAGAGGCTGGAGGGGCCAGAAAGGAAACATTGGATAGCATAAACTTAAGTGCCTACCCTTTCTGCAGGCAGGCAGGCTGTAGGGCTCAGAAGCTGCCAGACAGGCCAAAGGAGGGATAGCCATTCCCTTCTGCTCAGAAGTTCCTTATAAAGTCAGGATAGTGAACAAGAAAGTTGCAAGTTAGATGTTAAGTAGAGCTTTTCCCTGTACTTTGACATAGGAATGTTGGGTTGGTGCTACTAACTCCCCAGATGTGGAGAGTTGAAAAGGGGCTTGCCTCGAGGGGACAGGGGTCTGCTCAGCGCATGGACTATTCCCTGTGCCTGTGTGTGCCTGCAATTGGGGGCAGTGTCCAGGAGCTCAGCAAGGCATGTGTACCACCCTGGGATGGACTTGTGTCAGACACCATCACTGACAAGTATCTCCCCTCAGAGCCCGGTTCCTGGAAGGTGTGGCAGCAGCAGAAACAGAGAAGCAGGCTGCATTGGCCCAGGGCCGGGCAGAAACACTGGCTGGGGCCACACCAGATGAGGCTGATGGACCCCCAGGTGAGTAGACAGGTGGGCAGAGTCCAGAATCCCACCCTTATTGTGCATAGAGGGCAAGATGCCAATAGCCGCTTCTCTTTTTCTAGGCATCCGGGAACTATGGGACTCCTCAGAGCCAACCCCTGTACCCAGACCCCCCCAGAGCCCTGTCCCTCGAGTCCTGCTCCAGGCCCAGCGGAGCCTTGAGGTGGAGCCTAAGGAACCACTGGTGCCATCAAGCCCCAAGGCTGAGCCCATCCAGGAGCTCCCAACCCGTACACCAAAGCTCTGCATTGGGGACCTGGACTTCTCAGATCTGGGGGAGGATGAAGACCAGGACATATTAAATGTAGAATCTGTGGAGGCCGGGAAAGGGGCTCCACCCCCACCTCCCCCACTTCCCCTGCACTCTGGAGGCTCCCCACCTCCTCCCCCTCCACTTCCCCTGCACTCTGGAGGCCCCCCACATCCTCCTCCCCCACCTCCATCCTCCTGCCCACCACTTCCCCGCTCAGCACCCGATGGCCCAGCCCTCCCCACCAAGAGGAAGACTGTAAAACTCTTCTGGCGGGAGCTAAAGCTGGCTGGGGATCACGGGAAGTCTGGAAGCCGCTTTGGGCCCTGCACCACCCTGTGGGCCTCCCTGGAGCCTGTCACAGTGGACACAGCCCGGTTGGAACACTTGTTTGAATCCCGAGCCAAGGATGTACTTCCTTCCAAGGTAAATACACCAGAGATGGGGAAAATCAGAGTTCAAGGGGGTGAAATAGTCCCTCATCTCCCACATGGGGAAACCAGGATAAAGAGAGAAGGACTTGACTTGGGCTCTCTTAATAAAGTATTGACAGAGCCCTAACTAGAATCTCAGCTTATCCCAATGTTTTATGTGTCCTGGGTTCCCATTTGTAGGATCATTAAGCCATTCAGAGGAATACCTTGGAGTGCTCTCAAGATTGCTGCCCCAGCTAGTCCTTTCCCCAATCTTTCACTGTTCTTCCCCCCATCTTATAGAAAGCTGGTGAGGGCCGCCGGACAATGACCACAGTGCTGGACCCCAAGCGCAGCAACGCTATCAACATTGGCCTAACTACTTTGCCACCTGTGCATGTCATTAAGGCTGCCCTGCTCAATTTTGATGAGTTTGCTGTCAGCAAGGATGGCATTGAGGTGGGGATACCCAATGGATGTGAAAGGGAGGTGGGAGATCTGGACATCTTACTGACATTTCCACTCCCTCTGGTGGTAGGGATGGGCTTAACATATCTGCAGGGCATTTGCCAGACCCTGGGAAATGACTAAAGGAGGAGTGAGAGATGACTAAAGGAGCATGAGGCCTCAAGCTAACACTGTGGGGCGGTGGTTGCATCCTCAGAAGCTACTGACCATGATGCCCACGGAGGAGGAGAGGCAGAAGATTGAAGAGGCCCAGCTGGCCAACCCTGATATACCCCTGGGCCCAGCTGAGAATTTCCTAATGACTCTTGCCTCTATTGGGGGCCTGGCTGCCCGCCTACAACTTTGGGCCTTCAAGCTGGACTATGACAGCATGGAACGGGTATCTGGGTCATAAAGTGGGACAGGTAGTGGGGACAGGTAAGCATGATGAACATGAGTCTAAAGCCCTTGGTTCTCCTACACCAGGAAATCGCAGAGCCATTATTTGACCTGAAAATGGGAATGGAACAGCTGGTGCAGAATGCCACTTTCCACTGCATCCTGGCTACCCTGCTGGCTGTGGGCAACTTCCTCAATGGTTCCCAGGTAAGTGAGAGCACGTGAGGATTAGAGGTCAGGGCTCTGGAGCCAGCCAGGCCCTGGCTCAAATGGAGTCTTTCAGAGCAGTGGTTTTGAGCTGAGCTACCTGGAGAAGGTGTCTGAGGTGAAGGACACGGTGCGCCGGCAGTCGCTGCTGTACCATCTCTGCTCCCTGGTGCTCCAGACCCTACCTGATTCCTCCGATCTCTACTCAGAAATCCCTGCCCTGACCCGCTGTGCCAAGGTTAGCACCAGCAAAAGATTCAGTTAAAATGGGCTGGGGCACAAGCGAGCATTTCTTCCTTGGGTTGGCTCCTCCCACTTTTCCCTATTTGGGCTGTGCTAGGGTGTGCTCCAGCTACAGGTGTGTGAACTATGCTCTGCCTCTCTTGGCCAGGACACACCTACTCAGTCTTTTGAGTCTCAGTTCAGCTGCCACTTCCTCCAAGAAGCCTTCTGTCTCTGTTGCAGCAAATGGACTTGTCTCGCATATTAGATTGAACTTTTGGAGAGCAGAAGCCAAATGTTAGTTGTGTCCCTAGGCCCACAATGGCCAGTCTGGCAGAGGCAGCCTCAGGCAACCTGTTACCTTTGGGGTGACAGCTCATGTACCCACTTGCTTTTCCAGGTGGACTTTGAGCAACTGACTGAGAACCTGGGACAGCTGGAGCGCCGGAGCTGGGCAGCTGAGGAAAACCTGAGGAGCTTGGCTAAACATGAACTGGCTCCAGCCCTGCGTGCTCGTCTCACCCACTTTTTGGCCCACTGTGCCCGCCGTGTTGCCACACTGAGGGTAGTGCACCGCCGTGTTTACAACAGGTAGGGGTATGGGCCCCAAAGAAGCAAGACTGCCACCAACATCTCTCAAAGGGCAAGCAGGACTGCCCATCCCTCCCCCACTCCAACCTGCCTAGGTTTCATGCCTTCCTGCTCTACCTGGGCTACACTGCACAAGCAGCCCGTGAAGTGCGCATCATGCAATTCTGCCACACGCTGCGGGAATTTGCCCTGGAATATAGGACTTGCCGTGAACGAGTACTGCAGCAGCAGCAGAAGCGAGCCACTTACCGTGAGCGCAACAAGACCCGAGGACGCATGATCACTGAGGTAGTTACCCTTCTGAGTCTTGACTGCCACCCCTTGGTTTCTTTCCCCTACTCTCAGCTCATCCTTTTCCCATCCTCAGACAGAGAAGTTCTCAGGTGTGGCAGGGGAAACCCCCAGCAATCCACCTGTCCCAGTGGCTGTGGGGAGTGGACCAGGACAGGGTGATGCTGACAGTCATGCCAGTATGAAAAGTCTGTTGACCAGCAGGCCGGAGGACACCACACATAGCCGTCGCAGCAGAGGTAGACCTATAGCTGCTGTGGGGAATGGGTAATAAGGCCACCTTGACCTGACCTCCCTATCTGGTCTCCCACAGGTATGGTCCAGAGCAGCTCCCCAGTCATGCCGCCAGCAGTGGGACCTTCCACTGCACCCTCTGAAGAATCCCCAGGCTCCAGTTTACCCAGTGACACATCAGATGAAATCATGGACTTGCTAGTGCAATCAGTGACCAAGAGCAATCCCCGAGCAGCTACAGCTCGAGAAAGGAAGCGTTCCCGTGGCAACCGTAAATCTTGTGAGTACCCACCATAAGCCCACTGCTTTCCCGAACCCCATCATCCCCCTCCAACCCTACTCTGTCCCTACAGTGAGACGAACACTGAAGAGTGGACTTGGAGATGACCTGGTACAGGCGCTGGGTCTGAGCAAGACTCCTGGCCTGGAAGTGTGAAGGTGCTGCCTCAGGAAATTTAGCTGGATCCCAGCCTGCAGCATAAGAGACTACAGAGCAAGGAGAACCCAAAGCAAAATTCTGGTCCCAGAACCCAGTGTCCAGGGACTGACCAGTACCTTAAGCAGTATTAGGTGTGTGTGTGTGTGTACGCGCGTGCATGCATGGGCTCATGTGTGACCTCCCTACTTGCCGCAAAATAAAGTTTTCGTAGCTAATTCCAGAGCCTTTTTCCTTTCAATGTCTCCCCAAGCTGAGCCTGTAGCAAGAGGGAAATACCATACGACTAGTTCTTCCTGCTTTGTCCCTTATTAACTCACACACACACACCCATTAGCCACATTCTATTTATTCAACAATTCTATACCTCAGGCTACTTTTGGCCTGGATTAGGCTCTCATTGCTCCAGGCACTGAGGCCATGCAACCCAGTGCCCAGGAGCCTATGGCCACAATTTCAATGGCTATAGCCGCTTCATCTGCCGCCGCTCCTGTCGGCGCTGCCGTTTCTCGTTGTGCTCCGGTGCTGGGGTGCCACTGTCTGCTGTGAACCAGGGTCCCAGCACATTCACCCATAAGAGATAAAGGGCCCGGCCTGGAGCCTAAGAGAAAAGATAACTTGAAGTTGGGTGCAAAAAATGAAGGATAGGGAGGGTTAGATGCCTTTTTTAAGGAAACCCTCAAGCCCACATACCAGAAGCCAAAAGGACCAGATATAGAGGGAGAAGCAGCTCAGAACCTGCACAATAGCTGTCAGCAGGATCACATCCTTAAGGTGCCTGTGGATAGAAGGGAGGTTGCCAAAGACAGTAAATGGGCCCCATTTTGTTTTCCTTCCACTTTCTTCAAGTTGCAGATAGCTGTGAGCCTTAGGTTCTCTGGGCCCCAGTGCCCCAGCCCTGGGGCCGCTCACCTGGGCTGGCGGTGGGGGACACTCACTCTGCCATGCCCTGTTCCATGTTGAGGTCCATGCCACCATCCATCAAGGCCCCATCTTCAGAGAAGGCTGCCCGAGCCATCGAGCTCATAGAGTGGTAGCTGGCCCCATATACTGCCAAACTAAAGCCAAGGGCCATCTGCAGAGCGAGAATAGGGATATCAAAACCAACCACTGGACCTATGCACTCATCCACTTTCCAGGATGAAGATACTTACCCAGGCCCAAAATGAGGCAGATGAGTAGAAGACAACCAAGGTCACAAGGCAGTAAATGGCCTACAAGCAAACAGGATCAGGCTGGGGTCAAAAAATGCTTCAAACCATGGGACTCCCACAACTGTACCTAAGAACTAGGTCAGGCTATGGGCAGAGCCAGATTGTTCCTATAGGGTTGGGAGAAAGGCCTTGCTTCCTGAGGCTAAGTACCAAGACTGTCTTCTGAAACCCAAGCCAGCCCAAGAAAGAAGCCCTTATGTATCTACAATGGGGAAGGCAGTGAAGTCTAGCTGGGACTCACTTCATTATTATTTGTTTGTGTTTTGCTTTATTAGCCCAGAACCTTATTCCTGAATCCTTTCTCATTAATTTCTGTTTGCCAGTGTCCCACATGCCTGGTGCTGGAGATAAAACCCAGGATTATGTTCATGGCTAGACAAAGATTGTACCACTGAGCTACACTCACCAGTCCCCTCTCATTTCTTTTTGAATGTACTTCTTTGGAGCCTTAGCTGTCACCACCACTCCTCACCAGAGCTGAATACTGCGGAGCTACGAGTGGTAAGAGAAGAAAGGCAGATACTTACGTTGGCCCCCAGTATGATCCTCAGATAGAACTTTAGGGTCTCTCTGTTCTCTTCAAATATCTGCTTCTTCCCTCTGGTGCCCACTTTGCCCTTAGGCTGCAGAGGAAATATGAGATGCCGTCAGAGCTCTTCTCAGCCCCTCACTTCCTCCACCACCCTGGTTAGCTACACTGTCCCATCTGCATCTCAGCCAGGTCCCCACAGTCCCTGAGATGTCCACTCCTCCTCCAGTCCATACTGTCTAGAGCTGACACCATCTTTACAGCATCTCCAGCTTCGATTGCTTCCTGCTGGTCCTGAACAATCGAACGCTAGGCTTATGCCTTCTCCAGCTCCCCCAGCAAGGCCCAGCTTTGGGCTGACAGCACCTCGAGGGCACTCTTGAGTGGGGTTATATGGTACCTCTCTCGGACTTCTACTGGATTGCAGATGTGACAATAACGGCGAAATAACACACCCCCTCTGGTACTAGTTTTGGTGTGGTCCTGCGCCGCCATCTCTGTCTCCCTTCAACACCCCGCTCACACTAGTATAGTCCACTCATTGGATAGCGCCCCCCTCTGGCCCGTCCCGCATTCCTTGATGTCCCTCTATTTTCATTCTCCAGGCCGCGGGAGAGATTTGCCCATGTGGACCCCGCCCTACCCGTTCTCCTTACCGCCATGGTGCGACGCAAATACCCAGGCAGGGAAACAAGGGCGAGCGAACCAAACCAGACGGTGGGTACCACATCGGCAACGCTTGCACTTCCGGTGCAGACCAAAATCGTCAGATCATGGACGGAAGTGGGACTCACTTCCTTTCCCAAGTCCCGCCCCCAGAACTAACGGAACTACATTTCCCAGAAAGTCTTGCGCGGGGGCGGAGGCGGCAGGGATGCGATGGCGGAGTCGCTGCCCCTGGAGGTGAGAAGAAGCCGCCCTCCGGCCTAGCTCCGGACAGGCCCCGCCCTTGGGGTCCCGAGCTTTGGGGAGGGACTGTCAGTAAGCTCTCCTTGCGCCTTCCGCCTGGCGGAAACGACCCGCCCGGTGGATCCCAGGACCTGCAAGCTCTGGGTAACGGCCCCACTTTTGGGCCACTCTATCCCCTTAGCTTGGGGAACCGTCCTCTCCTTCCTAATCGGCCCCAGGAGATGCCTGCTCTGTCACCTTAGCGAGGACAGATTTCTGCCCATCCCCTTCGTTTCAGATTGCCGTCCCCTCCCCCTCAGTTCTGGAAGATGTCTGCTCCATTCCATCGTCCCTGAAGGGTAACCGATCTTATCCCCGTTGGCCCCTTGGGTTGCTCACTCCACTTCCTTCGTCCGCTCTCCCGGGCAGTGGGAAACAGACTATTCCCTCCCCATCAATTCTGGGAATGGTCGCTGAGGTTCTTTAGCAAAGACAGGCCTGCTACCCAGCCCCTAGTCCCATAGTGATGGCGCCCCTACCTCTTTCACCCCATGGGCTGTTTGCTTCTTCTTAGCCAGGGGCAAGACCACTCTGCCTTCTGCCTTCCTGGGCCAGAAGATAACAGGTTTTGTCTCCAGTGCCAGTGGTATCTTGGAATGGCCTCTCCATCCCTTTTGCCCTGAAGATTGCATCCCCCTCCCACCACCCATAGGAAACTGGCTACTCTTTCCCATCACTGCTGGAGTGCTCCCTCTCAGCAAAAATAGGCCTGCTCCCAGTTCAATGAGTATTCTGCAACTGTATCCATTTCTTCCTTGGCCCCAGAGGATATCCATTTTTGCCCATAGATCCCGTGGATTTTCCGTTGTATCTCTATAAGCTGCTTGGTATGTCTAGTAGCCCCTTGGGATGGGATTCATCCCATTCTCTAGTCTCTCTATAAAGACCACCTTTCTAAGTTTAATTAATCATGTCCTCCACTCCCATGATCAATTTTTTCCCCCTCCCTTTGCTCCTGGAGTTAGCTGCTAGCTGTTTAGCTTAGGAGACAGGATGGCCACTATCTTAGCTCAGCAGCTTCCCTGCTTCCCCCTAAGGATAGGAGCTTGGTCATTCCCAGTCCCTGTCAGTACTCTCTTCCCCATGCTTCCCCTCCCTAACCCAGGCTGTACTTCAAAGTCATTCTCCTCTCAGTAATCATCTGCTTTATCTCCCTATCCCTTCCCTGAGCAAATCTTTGGTGAAAATAGAGGTAGAGGACTGCCTATCCTTACTATAATCCTGTAAGTATTGACAGAGCATCTCATATATGTTCAGCATCTGAGAAGGGAAGGAGAAATCAGAGTGGAGTAGTGAAATCAAGCTTAAGGAATGACAACCCAAGAAAGAGGCCCACAAGACATGCTGGGGGCAGTAGAAAGGATGGATCAGGGAAGCTCTGGGACCAGTGGACCAGATCAGGCATGGAGACCTGGCAGTTCTGCCTCAGGAGTGGAGATTTTTTCCTGAGAGGACTGAATAACCCTGAAGGTTTCCATCAGGAGTATGCTGAAACAGGAAACAGGTTTTGTTTTGTTTTGTTTAGGACAGTTAACCTTGTGACAGTACAGAAGGGATTAGCTAAGTTGAACTTGAAGGTAAGGTCAAGATTGTGGAAGGAATCCAGGTCTGGGGTGATGAAGATCTTAGCTGCTATAGTGGTAAAGTTGTAAAGGTAGAAATATTAGTAACAGTAATCCAGCAACCATTTATGGATCATCTAGTCCCTATAAGACTATGATCTAGATTTTTTAAAATGTCTATTTCATACATACAGAAACTGAAGTTCAGAGAGGTCAAGTACACTGCCTGAAGAGACACAGCTAGGAAGTAATGGAGCTGGGATTTGAATGAGTCTTGGTTAGTGTTTCCTAAAGCCTCTATTTTATACTTGTATTTTGAAATAAGGGATAGAAGAACATGAGTCCAAAGTGTTACCAGGACCTTCAGATGGGGTGCACTATTGGCATTAAAGGGGAAAGTTGGACTGAAGGCAAAATATCAAGGTGATGGTGAGTCATTTGGGAAGATAGTTGGCAATACTGCACTTGCACTTAGTACGTAGGACAATATGAGGCTCTTGTTGGTTGTTTATGTATGAATAAACTGAAGATCAAAAGATCCAAGTATGAGGCCTGGGAGTCACAGAAGAATCCAGAAGCAGGCCAAAAAGAATGCTGGGCTAAGGCCTAGAAAACAATGTTACAGGTCTCAAGAAAGGAAGATTTGAGAAGGAAAAAAATCGCTAATAAATTGTTCTTAGCCTCACAAGTGACCCATTTCCAGTCCCCTTTAGAGCATCCAACCTTACCACCCCAGCCTCATAGAGCATAGATGGAAGACAGGCAGAGGCTCCCAGGGTGGGTCTTGCCGGGATCATTTCTTAATAGCCAGTTAAGAAGGCAAGTTGGCATTGGAGAATTTGGAAAGAGTGAGGGTCCCAGAGCTGAACTTGTGAGGGCAGGAGGAGGAAGTGGGGCTTCAGAGAATCAAAGGAAGATATTTGACTTACCATGTTCCAGATCTATGCAAGACACTGTGCTGTTAC